AAATCCTTATAAAGTTTTTATCCTGTCATATTGAGTCATATGATGACACCATGCCGAGTTTCCTGTTTTTTTTACTTTGTTTGCATAAATAAAACAATAAGATACATTTTCTACGTCACTCAAACATTGTCCGTAATCATTCTTCCACGCACGAAAGCACTCTGAGCCAGACCAATAATGCCAGGAAGAAAGACCTTCAAATGGTTAGTCACCATTTTTGCAATAATAGTATACACCACATTACACAAGTTGATCGTCCTAAATTGGGTTACCTTTTCCACAGAATTAACCTTGGGGATCATCACAGTACCAGTGTCATTCCATCTGATTGGAATAGTACACATATTAACCGCTTGCAATACCACCTCCATCAGATCGTCCTCTAACATGGACAAAAATCTTTTATAAAAAATTGCATGGAGTCCTTCCGACACCAGATAAATCACCAATAGAAAACGAGCCATACAGACATCTTCATCGGTGTAAGGAGCAAGGAGTGCATTATTCATCTCGGCCAACACCTTTTTACGAACTAGTGATAAAACCTTCTCAGTTGTAATACTTCTAAAGTGAAAAGATTGGAAAAATAGTATGTGATGTGATCCTTCAGTTCCATACCTTGCCGTCAGACCCACGAATCATCAAGGAGTTTCTTAATATTATTTCTCTTCTTCCTAGCCTTAGCCTCATTACAGGGAAAAGGTGTATTACTATTCCAATGCATCAACCAATTGAAGGAAATATGCCCTGGAGGCAATAATAAAGTTATTATTTATTTCCTTATTTCATGGTAAATGTTTATTATTCATGCTAGAATTGTATTAACCGGAAACATAATACATGTGTGAATACATAGACAAACAGAGTGTCACTAGTATGCCTCTACTTGACTAGCTCGTTAATCGAAGATGGTTGAGTTTCCTAGCCATGGACATGAGTTGTCATTTGATTAACGGGATCACATCATTAGGAGAATGATGTGATTGACTTGACCCATTCCGTTAGCTTAGCACTTGATCGTTTAGTATGTTGCTATTGCTTTCTTCATGACTTATACATGTTCCTATGACTATGAGATTATGCAACTCCTGTTTATCTGAGGAACACTTTGTGTGCTACCAAATGTCACAACGTAAATGGGTGATTATAAAGATGCTCTACAGGTGTCTCCAAAGGTACTTGTTTGGTTGGCGTATTTCAAGATTAGGATTTGTCACTCCGATTGTCGGAGAGGTATCTCGGGGCCCACTCGGTAATGCACATCACTATAAGCCTTGCAAGCATTGTAACTAATGTGTTAGTTACGGGATGATGTATTACGAAATGAGTAAAGAGACTTGCCAGTAACGAGATTGAACTAGGTATTGAGATACCGATGATCGAATCTCTGGCAAGTAACATACCGATGACAAAGGGAACAACGTATGTTGTTATGCGGTTTGACCGATAAAGATCTTTATAGAATATGTGGGAGCCAATATGAGCATCCAGGTTCCGCTATTGGTTATTGGCCGGAGACGTGTCTCGGTCGTGTCTACATAGTTCTCGAACCCGTAGGGTCCGCACGCTTAAAGTTTCGGTGATATTGTATTATGAGTTTATGTGATTTGATGTATTGAAGGTAGTTCGGAGTCCCGGATGAGATCGGGGACATGACGAGGAGTCTCGAAATGGTTGAGACGTAAAGATCGATATATTGGACGACTATATTCGGACATCGAAAAGGTTCCGAGTGATTCGGGTATTTTCGGAGTACCGGGGAGTTACGAGAATTCACCGGGAGAAGTACTGGGCCTTATTGGGCCATACAGGAATAGAGGAGAGAGGCCAAAAGAAAGGAGGCGCCCCCACCCCTCCCCCCCTCTGGTCCGATTTGGACAAGGGGTGCAGCCCCCTTTTCCTTTTCCCTCTTCCCCTCTTTCCTTCTCTCCTACTCCGGAAAGGAAAGGGGAATCCTACTAGGACTTGGGAGTCCTAGTAGGACTCCCCACACTTGGCGCGCCCCCTCTAGGGCCGGCCTCTCCCTCCCTCCTTTATATACGGGGGCAAGTGGGCACCTCTACACACACAAGTTGATCTCTGTTGATCTCTCCCAGCCGTGTGTGGTGCCGCCCTCCATCATAGTCCACCTCAATCATATCGTAGCGGTGCTTAGGCGAAGCCCTGCGTCGGTAGCATCATCATCACCGTCATCACGCCATCGTGCTGACGGAACTCTCCCTCGAAGCTCTGCTGGATCGGAGTTCGTGGGACGCCATCGAGCTGAACGTGTGCTGAACTCGGAGGTGTCGTACGTTCGGTACTTGAATCGGTCGGATCGTGAAGACATACGACTACATCAACCGCGTTGTGCTAACGCTTCCGCTTTCGGTCTACAAGGGTACGTGGACACACTCTCCCCTCTTGTTGCTATGCATCACCATGATCCTGTGTGTGCATAGAATTTTTTTGAAATTACTGCGTTCCCCTACACCAATTTGCTCGACCTCTCTATATCCAAAAAATGTGTCTTCCTGACCTAAAAGATTTTCAATGAGAACAAGAATTTTGTTTTGCCGAGCACTTATAAGACCACACCGCAGTCTCTCTAATTATTATTTTAATTTGTTGATTCTTTGTCTAGTCCCGTTTTAGTGTATTGTGATCCAAAATATGCAAATCCAACATGCACCTATATTTATACTTAATAGTACAGGACAAAGTATTTCTCTGATTTTTTTCGTGTGCAGTTAGAATTACCCCTGCAGTTGGAGACAAATACCCTCCCCAAAAAGCCACCCATAAGTGAAAAAATGCTTCTGTTTTTCTTGTTCGTCCACCGTATGTCATAAGTCATCTCGCTGGATTGAGCCTTGACCCACCCTGCCTCCACTCAAGCATGATTCGACTCGCACTCGCACGGTTACCCACACACATGAAACAACCTGCGTAGGAACCCTCCCGTCGCAACTAATGAGCCGGCCCAAGTCCGTTCTTGCACAAGTTGTTTTTCTCATTAATTTGTTCATTTATTTGTTTTTATTTTGTTCATATTTTTGAAAATATTCAAAGTACGTATATTTCGGAGCATAAATTTATTTTAAAATAAAATTTTCAAATTTTAAAAAAATTAACACAATACGGAAGCATTGTTAGCATAATTTCAAAAAATGTTGATAACATTAAAAAGAATGTTTGTGGTATTCTAAAAAATGTTCACATGTTTCGAAATCTGTGCATGACATTTAAAAACAAATATGTATACAATGTAAATAATTCAATATAGTTAAAAACAATTGTACCAAACAAGAAAATGTGTGTTACATTTTAAAAAATCTTCGTGCTTTTCAAAAAATACGTTCCTGAAATTTTTAAAAATTGTTTATCCAATGTAAAAAAAATCATGTAGATTAAAAATTTCATATAATTCAAAAAAATATTTCACCTTGTATTTTAAAAATGTTTAACACATATTCAACAAAATGATGTAAACATGTATTTCAAAAATATTAAACATGCATGAAAAGTGTTTGATATGTATGTGGAAAATGTAGAATGTTTATGGAAAAAAGTAGACATCAAAACATATATTTGAAAAAGTGTTAATCATGTACTTGAAAAATTTTAAGTGCGTATGATCAAAACATATATTTGGAGAAAATGTTAATCACATATTTAAAAAATATTAAAAAAAATTTAGAAAACTGTTTTCGATGTATACCAGAAAGGTACTATAATTACGAATATGTAGAGTTTTAAAAAATAAAAAAAGGTAAAGATAAAAAAACTTTAAAACCAAAGAAAACTGGTAAAGAAACACAAAAAACTGAAAATCAAAGAAAGCGGTTGAAAACCAACAGAAAAATCCAAAGGAAAAAAGAAAAAAAACCGAGAAACCCGTTTAAAAAGCACACAAAGAAAAGCCCGATAAGAAACTAGAAGAATCGACTAAGGAAAAGAACATAAATAATGGCCTCGAGGCTTCCCAAAACCGGTGTACCAAGAATCTTCCACAAACCATGTTCTCTGATAACGATTGATGCTGTCCGTCTTCATTAATGGATCAGCCGGTTCACGGGATTGCTGAAGGCGAGGCAGGACTATGTCTGGCACCGGGCGATATATAGCCTTGGCGTGTCACGTGTGCCCTGGAGACGAACTGACAGAGTTTTGACTAGTCAAGTTTTGACTACAACAAATGCCGGTGACGATCGAAAGCACAAGCATAGAAGCATGGGTGGCAACTCCGATGAGAATTCTGCTCCAGCGAAACGATGTGGATAATTTCTGCAATAAAGCGTTGATTTTGCCCTGTCGTAATTAGACATGATTAAATTGCAGAAGGTGAAGATTGTCGGTTGTTGACACTGAAAATTCACCAAATGGTGTGCCACTGCAAAATAAATATGAACAATATGTGATCGGTGATGACAACATTGACGAGGTTGAGGATTGGTCGTGTGCCTAGTATTTAGCCTGATTTTCGTTACTATTCTCACATTTTAATACATTTATGCTGTATGAAACATTTTGGGCGTAAACTGCACATGCAATCATCCAAATATGATTCTCGGTCGACCCAAGTGGAGGATTTTAGTTTACAGTGTGTCCATTCTTCAACAATACGAGCAATCGATCAAGAGGTGTTTACCCTACATAGATTGTGGTTTAGTCTTCGGATTAGTCCTCCAACACCTAGGGCTTTTTTTTAACTGTTGCCAGTTTATATTTTTCTTATGGTTTTGGTCCGTTGTTGCTTGAAGTCGTGTGCACCTACCTATGGACTAGAAAAACTTTGTTTCTCTTTTGCTAACGATTTGGAGCAAATAAAATAAATTGTATATATTACTCATTTCAACATAGGTTTATTTGTAGCAAGTTCAAGACTACTACCACACCTGCAAAAAAGAAGTCGAGACTACCAGGGATCAACATTTCCCTCAAAAGATAAAAAAAACTGCAGGGATCAATACGGCCATGGATACTGAAATAGGCAAAGGACTTCAGGTCACACCAATCCTCTATGGGTTGGTATCCTCCTTGGCAGGGGGGAACTTCTTGAAGAATGGGTTCTTCTTGATGAACGGCAGGAGCTTCTTGAAGAGCTGAGGGTCCGTCTCCGGGTCTTGGGCCATCTTCTGGTCAGCGGGAGGGTGGTAGATCGGTGTCGGGTGCGTGTACACCGGCGTCGGCGGCTTGTGCTCCGGCACGGGCGTCGGGTGCGTGTACACCGGGGTGGGTGTCGGCGGCTTGTATTCCGGCACCGGCACTGGCTTCTTGTGGAAGTGCGGGATCACGATTGGCTTCTTGTGGAGGAGCTTCTTG